AACTGCAGGACGGACTTTAATAAAACTCTCATAAGGTCACCACTAAATAAACATCTACATCTGAATAACGTTTGGAGCCAATCCAATTAAAGATGGCTAACACAGCCAGCTGAACTTGGACGCTACAAAAATAGCTAGTTGTCACAGATATTTTCCTAGAATTTGTGAGTCATTAACAACATGTACTCCAAGTGGCACTCAATGGGCCAGATCTTTGCCCCAAATTTTAGCTTTAACTGTTGGAGTCAATCCTTATTGTTTGTTAGCAAAATATCCCATGAACTACTGAGTGGATTTTAAAAAACCTATTTGAGAAATTAGGCACTGGATGTACGTCTACAACTGATTAAAATTAAGAGTCTATCCAATTCAAAATAGCCAGTAAAGTAAATCAACAATAACCAACTACAACTCATCAGGTTTACAAACACTGATCTAAAACTTAATGTGGTAGTAGCTGAGAGTCATTTACAACACATCTTCTGAGTGTGACATTTTGTGACGGTGCACACATAATGTTTTTATTTTTTTTAAAGTTTGATCAAATCAGCAACAACTCGGTCATTTCTCATAAGAACAACTCTGGGATAAACAGCAGCGAGTGATATGCATTCATTTGAGGAATTCTGGCCATGCAATAAGATCTATGCAAAACTAGTTCACTTTTTTGTTTTCTTTCAGAAGAAAGACCACTTATAAGTTTGGTTTTACATTAAAAAGAAAACACCCACCACTTTTCATTCATGTTTGTACTGATAATTAACAAAAAATAAAAATAAAGGACATATTTGTCCCTATTTTCACGTCATACATCCAGGGTGATCCCCTGTGCACAACTTGGGGCAGGCGGGCTAACATTTGGCCCTCCTAAAGAAAACAAACGTCAGATGTAGTTTTCCTGGCAAAGGGGACAAATGACAACTTCACAGCACTTCATAAGAAACTCCTGGAAGTTGCTAATGAAGACTAACGACTTCCCTCGTGTCAGAGAATTCACACCGGAGTGTATGAGCAGAAAGAAGACCTGAGAATGTGTGTGTGTGTGTGTGTGTGTGCTGTCGACTGTGAAGCTTCAGGAGGCAAAACGTGCACCACGTGGAAAACAGAGCTTCATCCAACCAACTCTGGTGTGAACACGTGAGGGAAGTTTTGATTAAATGGGAGAAAAATAATGAGTTTTGCATCAAATCAGGATCACAAATATATTTTCCCACAAATGACCAAAAATAATAATCAAGATACAGAACGGCCGCTGCCTTTAATGTCAGAGTTTTAGATTATTTCATGTTCTGGTCACATTGAAAATAATATGCACAATTAAAATGTCACGCTCAGTGTACGTGTTGTGACTGACTCAACTACTACCACATCAAATTGGAGCTAAGTGTAAAGTTGACAGTCTTTTATTTTAATAAAAAAAAATTGAATCCTGATTGCATCATATTCATGACCAGATTTCCCCCAAAAAGATTTGTACCATGTAATAAATAAATAAACAAAAATAAATAAATAATACAAATTGAATGAGGAAATGTCCCACTGAAGCTTTAGTTATTTACTTCCCTGATTAGAAAGATTAGCAGCTTTTTATTTTAGGCATCAGGTTTGAAATATTATAAATAAACCTGTTATCAGTAGTTTTTAAATGACGTAGAAATAAAGCATTTGATAATCTATTACATTCTTTGATAAACATGTAGCTACTAAATGTTAAATGGACTGTACTTGTATAGCGCATTTCTATCTTATCAAGATACTCAAAGCACTTTACAACACGTGTCCTCATTTACCCATTCATATAACACTCTACTAGATCTCTACAAAGAAAATAAAACAAATCATTCTAAAGAGACTAATCAGAGCTTTATCACATTCATACACCGATGGGGCACACATCGAAGGCAATGAGGGGTTCAGTGTCTTGCCCAGGGACACTTTTGCACTTGAACCCCCAACTCTTGCATTGGAGGATGACTGCTCTAACCACTCAGCCACAGCTACTATCGTTTTACTTTGAAATAAATAGTTATGTTAGAGAATTTTTGGTCAAAGTTTATGTACGTTTTTAACTACTATGACTGAGAATGTTAACTCTGTCCATGAACCATACGTTTGCATTAGTAGAGAGCTGAATAGAGCTGGGTGAGGCTACTACGTGCAGCAGTCGCTCTAAGGACGCCTCCGAGTCTGTGAACTTGGCAGAACTGATAAGTGTATAAAAACAAGCTTCACACACTGCCCGTGGCAGACTGGGCTTCATGCAGTGGCGGCTGGCCAATAGAAGGCGCCAGGACGTCGCCCCACCACTCACCACTCTACCTTGAATAAGACATTAAAAAATTAAATAAAAATGAAATAATAAAATAAAAATATTTTGAAATATATGTATATATATATAATATTTTATAGTTAATGATGAATAAAGTTGTTTCGATCTTTAACGTTGTCCGATTGATGACGTGTTTTCGCCCCATGGGGCGCAAAAATCTTTGCCCAAAGACTCTCATTAAAAGCTGTACATGCACACTAGCTCCTCTTCAATACAAGATATAGGACCATTCTGGGGCGCACCACTCCTGCGCCCAGAGCTGAATGTACAGTACGGATCGTGCTTCCGGAACAGATTGTGCAGTAACACTCACAACCAGGCTATGTGTGAGAGAGGCTAGGCTAGCTGCTGCAGGCAGGCTTTAAGCCAATTAAAGCCCTTTATCCAATGCTTATGTTGCCATTTCTGACTGCCTCTCAACTTTTAGATGTTTCCGTTTGTGGAAAAAAACTTTCATCTGACTGTATATTCTAAAAGTGGAAAATGGTGAGTTGGTTTGTTTGTTTCTGGAGCTAGCATGCTAGTGCTAGCCTCCAGGTTATTGTATTGGGCTCTGTGATAAATCAGTGCTATTGCTATATTTATTTGAATGTGCTTATAGAAAAAAAATATCAAACATTAATACTTTTCTATACTAAATGTCACTGATGGTGTTCTATTTCTAAACACCTGCATTTGTATTTTATTAATCTTTATTTAACCAGGCAAATCCCACTGAGATCACAGATCTCTTTTGCAAGGGAGGCCTGGGCCTGAAGGCAAACTAACATGCATGTTTTTGGTCTGTGGGAGGAAACCGGAGTACCAGAGAAAGCCCACATGAGCACGAGAAGTACATGCAAACTCCACACAGAAGGACCCAAGGTCCAAAAGGGGATTGAACCCAGGACCTTCTTGCTGTGAGGCAACAGTCGTGCTGCCATGATGTATTGATCTGGATAATGAAAAATAAGCCTCTTGCAATAAGTAAATAGCTCCTAATGTTAACATTGAAGCATTAAAATTGAAGGTACATGGAGACGATGAAATGCTATTGCTACATTGTGTGCTAAGATACATTAGGATCTTTAACATTAAGAATATTTAAGAGTACTCAAATAATGAGCTTGATTCCATTTATATTATGAACTTATGTTACTATAGTAATGATAAAACCTGTATATTGCATAAATATGTATGATGGTTTTTGATATTGATAAAACCCAGGGTTATTTATTAGGTCTGTTTCACACAGGCCAGTTCCTGTTTCCATGTCTGTTGCTGAGCTGACCAGACTGGATGGAGAGATAACCCTAATTTCGAACCAGGAGATCGGTTGAATCCCTATAACTCCTTCCTGTGCGATAGGAGGTGCTATTAGCCTACGGCTACATTCTCATTGTCCCTCTGGACTGCAAATAAAATGTCTATTTTGTGGGCAGCACGATGGCACAACTGGTAGAGCTGCTGCCTCTCAGCGAGCAGGTCCCTGGTTCAAATCCCGGTCCGGGAGCCTTTCTGGGTGGAGTTTGCATGTACTCTCCGTGCATGCGTGGGTTTTCTCCGGGTGCTCCAGTTTCCTCCCACAGACCAAAAACATGCATGTTAGGCTGATTAGTAACTCCAAATTGTCCCTAGGTGTGAGTGAGAGAGTGAATGGTTGTTTGTCTCGTTTGTCTCTGTGTGTCCCTGTGATGGACTAGAAACCTGTCCAGGGTGTACCCCACCCCTCGCGCAGTGACTGCTGGACATGGGCACCAGCGACCCCCGTGACCCAAAATGGAAGAAGTGGGTAAAAGATAATGGATGGATATGAAGACATTTGTACGAATGACTGCGACTTGAATGTTTGAAAAGAATAAAACTGCAGAAAAACAGGACTTGTGCTCTTTTTACTCTCTGAAAACTATTATGGGGCAACTGTGGCTGAGTGGTTAGAGCAGTCGTCCTCCAATGCGAGAGTTGGGGGTTTGAATCCACCAGCAGTCTCATGCTGAAATGTCCCTGGGCAAGACACTGAGCCCCTCATAGCCTCTGATGTGTCCCATCCGCATATGAATGTGATCTAAAGCTCTGATTAGTCTCTTTAGAATGATTTGTTGAAAAAGCTTTGTATAGATCTAGTAGTGATGTATGAACGGGTAAATGAGGCACAGATTGAAGTGTAAAGAGTATCTTGAAATAAGATAGAAAGGCGCTATACAAGTACAGTCCATTTACAATTTATTTTTAGATTATGTTACTGTTTCTCTTTACCATGGGTCATATTAGATGTTTTTCAATTGTTTTTGATGGAGCTTCTGGTTGTTTACCAGTGGGTATGGCTCAGTGCAACATTTGTCACATCTGATTTAATGAGCTTTATTGTTAAGATTTCATCTGAAAATGGGTCAAGTACAAAAACATAACACCACGTGCGCTTTAGATAAACAGCAAATGTGTGCCACTTTGTGTAAAATACCTTCTAATGTAACCTCATAAAATGTATGTAGTTTTACTAGATTGTTTCTAAAGAAAATGGAAAATGTTGATTTGAGACATTTTTATGCATTGTGCCGATTTTAGGTTTTATAATAAACAATACAACATCACAAACTGCATGTTTCTCAAATATATATTTGGTTTGACATCTACAACGCAGTCAGTCGAGACAGAGAGCATGTTCCACTCCTGCAGTCTGCTCTGGTGGGGGGGGGGGGGGGGGGGCTCACCACAACAAACCTTACACCCCCTAAAGATGAACAATATAAGGAACTAAAATACAATTTATAACTCAGGGTGATAAGTTTACATTTGTCTTTTTCTTAGAAACAAAAGTAAATCTTTCTTTTTATAGAAACAATCTGTAAAAAACATTCTGTGTGTCTTCCTCTGAGTTGTTCAAAAACTAATTTAGTGACTTTAATGAAAAGGCATCAATTATAGGAAGTCCTGCTCCTCCTCATCATCGTCACGTTCCTCTGAGTTCAGGAAAGATGAAGCAGCTGTTAGCAGCTGCCCTGAAACCTGCTGGAACCGAAGATGTTTATCTCGGCCTAACAAAGCCAAACGTCCTGGCGAGTTTTGGATCCTGATATGTACAAAAGCTAATTGCTAACCGGCTGAAATCCTCTCTGCATGCCGTTTAGATCAGTGCTGGTGACGGGACGTCCTCCTGGCCAAAGAACTGTCGCTGTAGCTACAAATGCACACAGAAATTATTATACAGGACTATACAAGAGACGGAGGCAGTACAAAAATACCACGAACTGAAAACCTCTCAAACGTTCAAATGTAAACATTTTTCAATCTGCTACAGGTTTTGAGGCGTTGTAGCTCTTCAGCTCCACAGATGAACCTTGGATGCAGCCCTCTGTCGGCGTTCCATTAGATTACTGACGCAGTGAGAGAAAGACCTCACGGTGAGGGTTATGTGCAGGACAGGAAGTGTTGCTGAGCGCCGATTCACGCCGAGGCACCTCAGACTGGTGAGCTCCAGACGAGCACTTAGCTGCGGCTCAGAAAGTTAGCACACGACGTACAAAAGATGCATAAACATGTTGCTGGTAGGCTGTAAAGGCAAAGTCTGTCTTCTTGTGTTTGCCAGGTCCAGGGTAAAGCAGGTCGAGAAGCTGATGCATAAATGGCACACTTCAGATATGCTGTGGGTCTTCATGCAGCGTGACGTTACCACACGGCTGATCAAATACTGCAGGTTTCCACTCTGCGTGAGGGGACCGAAGCATCAACAGGCAGCTGCAGAAATGACCCACTCCGTTACTGAATCAAAATAAAACGGGTCAGCCTGGTGGAGTTTGGAGCCACGGCTAAGATGAGTTCAGTTTGAGCGAGGTCTTCACAGGCTCAGATGTCCATGTAGTCGTCCTCCTCGTCAGACTCGCTCTCCAGAGACGACTCCTGGCTGGACGTCTCCTGCACCTCCAGCGCCGGCTGGCTCAGGGTGTCCTTTTTGACGGTGGCAGCGGACTGAGAGGACAGGATGACGTTCTGTGTGGGGGGACAGACAGCAGGGGTCACTGCTGAGCACAGACAGCTTTCTGCCTCCCTGTTCAGACAGAGCGAGCGTACCTTCAGCCTCTGTTTGGTTTCCTCTGAGATGCTGCCTTTCGGGGAGAGCAGCGTGGGCGTTGGAGGCGTTACCGTGATCTCTGGTGGGAACTTGGTGACGGTGGAAGGGATGAAGAGCTTTGGCATGTTGGCTGGGACTCGGGAGCGGATTCGGCTGGGGTCTGGAAGCTTTGACAGCTCGCTGCTGGCGTACTGCTGCTGGTCTGAGAGATGAGAACCAAAAGAACATTAAACATTTAAAAGTCAAAGGACAGAGCTGTCGGCTGCACGAGAAAATAACTCTCTTCCTGTTCTGACTTTTTATTTTCCTGTCGCGTTTTGTTTAGAACTACTGCAAAACAATCAGGAGAAACAAGACTGGTTGGTTAGGACAACTTGACAAAGTTTATATTTTTTATTCATTTATCTTGTTATTTCTTGAACATCTCAAATAAAAAAGTGCAACCTACAGCTGCAGGTTCTGGTCAGCTGTGCAGCGACCACAGAGTGGAACCAGATGAGAAATTCAAGTTCTTAGAACTAGAAGGGGATTGAAGTCTGCGCATACTTCAAGCTAGTAGACCGGCTTCCATCCGAAAGATGGAACAACGGCCAGCAGAAAAAAAACAACCCTCAAAAACTAAAAACAAACAAACAACAACAAAAAAAACCACCAAGCTTGTTAAGCTGCTAAATGTATAACGTTAGACTGGTCTAATCTCTGAGATTAAATGTTGACTAAAGTCTGGACTCATGTCTGATTACTGTACTTGTCGCCATACACGTCGCACCACCGTATAAGTCCCATCTATTGTGCGTCACCACTGACCACCTGGAAATGTGGGCCGGTGTTGTGCCAAAAATCAATCGGCAACCAAATGGCAGCCGCAGGAGCATGCACAGGATTACTTTAACAATAATTTAACAAGATAACCACCTAAAAACAATTACTTGTTTGCTCAACATTATAGTAAAAGTGTGTCTCAGTTGAACTTTTCCTTAATAAATTCACTTTAATGGTCAAATCAGCTGAATTTCGCCTGGGTGGCACAGTGAAATGCAGCTGATTTGACGTTTGCTCCAGGCGTTCCGGAGCAAGACGAAAGTGGCTTTGTATGGCAAGCAGAGTGTCTCATTAATAGCCACTTTTACCTATTAATGAGACACTTGGCTTGCCATACTACTTGAGCGCCCTCTAGCGGCTGAAAATGGTAGTGTTCAATATTTTCCATGTCAGAATGAATGAAATCGTCAGATCTCAGGCGAAAATTGAGTTATAAATGTGAGAGAAAACATAAATAGGTCGCTTCTCTGTATAAGTTGCAGGGCACGCTAATTTATGCAAAAAAACTGTGATGTATACAGTGAAAATTATTGTACTGCTGTTGAGTTTTGTACCGCGTCCAGCGTCGTTGACCTCGGTTGTTTGAGGAAGCAGAATTTTTCATAAAATGTTAAAAGAAAAGATTTGAATAATTTAGACTTTTTTATTCTGTTGTAGCAGAAAACATCGTGCTGGCTGGAAATGAAGTTTCCACCTTCATTTGATCTGTTTTGCGCTTTTTATCTTTGAACCTGATTCAAAAATGGTTTATATTTATTTGTTGATTTAACTATATTCATTTTTTTGTTTTTAGGAATAAAAGTAACAAATGACCTGGGTGTGTTAATGAGTTTGTTTCAAACGAATATAATTTTTTGCAGAAAAATAGTAACAATAAAATCACTCAGAACATATAGGTGTTAAATTCACTGTATGAAAAGTGAAATTAGAAGAACATTTGTTCCCCATCATCACATTAAATTCTTCTTTTTGAAAGTGAAACCGTGTGTGAGGATTCCTCTCTGCAGTTTGCAGACATGCTGAGTAGTCGGGCTTTTTAGTTTTAAATACATTTATAATAAGAGTTTTGTTTAGTTTGTCATGCCAGAGCTGGAACTTTAAATTTATACTTTTTAATCTTGTAGCTGTCCGTGAATATAGGAGAACACTGAGATCTTCTAATACATTTCTACTTTCTGTCCCAAAATCCAACTACAAACGATGGGGTGACCGGGTCTTTTCGGTTGTCGCACCCAGACTCTGGAACCAGCTACCTCAGGACTTGCGCTCCATCACTGACATGGAGCATTTTAAATCTAATCTTAAAACCTTTTTATTCAGGCAGGCTTTTAATACCTAGTAGGTCTTTGACAATTTTGCTATGTTCTAATTGTTTTTGTTTTTAACTGACTGATTTTTTTATTCTCGTTTGTTTTTAACTTCTGTACTGTGCAGCACTTTGTGCACCTTTTGGCTGCTGGAAAGGGCTCTATAAATAAAGTTTGATTGATTGATTGATTGATACTTTATACTATAATTTGCTTTCATTTATTTTTAAGTATACAGCAGAGACTGTTTAAAATCAAATGAGCTAATAAAGTGAGTTTCTCAGTGCAGACATGAGTTGCCAGTGGGGTTAATAAGTTTCTCTTCCTGATTCAGACCTGGATGTGGTTGCGTGGTGCTACATGTTGCCGTTTCCTCCTGGAACCACCCAGCTGCCGGTTCCTGCCCCTGGGAAACCGTGGCGAGTTTCATCTGCTGGCAAAGGTGCGACTCCTGTTGACGGTACAAAAGCCCCTCTGAGGGCTCCCCCCGCTCCTCTGTGGGAGGTGAGGACACAGTGAGAAAAAGGTTTAGGAATAAAACTGTGCTCAATTTGAGTTATCGCTGAACAACAACACAAATAAATAAATGTTTGTGAGGTTTTATGGTTGTAACAAAAACTGTGCAGGAGAACTGGGCAGGGACTTCCAGTTCTGCTGGTTCCTGAAAGAAACAAGTTAACAACGTTTCAACGTCTCACTGGTCAGTTTAAAGATGGGACTTGGTTAGATGACACAGTTTTTAACAACGTTTACTAACATTTGTGCAATCGAGAAATATCCTTGGTGCTTTAAGCAAATGTAAAAATTCCCCCACAGAAACAACTGAGCTACAACGGTTTGTTGCCGTGGTAACCATTACATAATTCACATCGGTGAGATGCTGCTGGATGCAATGCCGTGACTGTTTGTGTAGAACTGCATGGGGATAGAAATACACCTATGCATGTATTTGCACAGGTTGAAAGGTCATCCAGCTTTAGGACACAGACCAGATGAAGTGAAGTGAGGGTCGTGTCTTTTAGTCCACAGAAAACTGGAGACGTTCTGCTTCAATGAGTCAGACTGAACTCCTGCATGGATGTAAAGGTGCTCCAAAAACCAACCAGAGACTGTAATGTCTGAGGTTATGTTCCTTTTTTTTGTCTCAGTTTGTTCAGTCTTGTTCAATGGTGAATATTTCATTTTAGTATATTGCTTATTTATTATTTACATAGGCAAAAATACTGTTTAGCCTTGTATGTGCATAAATCTGTTTAAATCACTTTGCTCTACTTAAAATCAAAGCTGTAAAAACCGAGCTCAAAATGGGCTCCATCCACCGAATCCTTATTTGATAAAAAAAATAAACAACAGCTCAGCAACAAGACTCAAACATGCCACAGATTCAAGTTCACAGCTTGATTTGGAATATTGGTGGAAATATACACAAGATTTGCATCCTTATACATAAAACATAATTTCATCTGAATATTCATGAGATCAGCAGTGATTCTGCCAAATCCCTCCAGAAGTTCATTCAGGCGGCAGAGACGGACAATATGGAGGACAGTCATTTCATAAACTCTTGTTGGGGGGCCTGGCAAAGCCCAAAAGGCAAAACATAAACAACACAGACTGCTGTTATGCAACATTTCTGGGTTGGACCACAGGCGCCCCCTGCTGGTCACACATTTTGTTTCTTCAACTGAGAAATTCAAAGCTCCACAGAAGCCACTTGTGTCACAAAAGCATTTGTTTAAACAACAGCAGTAGCCCCAAATGCTGGAATAGCTTTAGATTTAATGTTTTTATATACATAAAAATAATCTAGTTCATGCAGAGACATGAGGAGGAAGCAGTACCTGTGTGTGGCAGGAAGGCCATGGCTGCAGCAGACTGACCTCCGGCTCTTTTGGGCTGCGGCTGATCGTGGAAGCCTGAGCTCTGAGGGCGGGACAGTTTGCTCAGGGGCTCACACACCGATTTGGCTTGGCCGTCCTGGATGGACAGTGGGTGGCAGGTGGTGTGACTGAGCAGGACGGGAGTCGGCAGAGAGGCGGGGAAGAAGAGGTCTTTGTGCTCCTTGGTGTACTTAGGTGTAGTCGGGGCATCGCCTACAGACTGCTGGAGACAAAAAGAAGGAAAAGTTGTTAAAACCAGGACCTCCTGAAACCGTCTCGTGCTTCGGCTCGTCTCCGAGAACAGCACATCCTCAGAGCTGCGGTCCCCAAACGATCCACGCTGTTGCACTTTTCAAACATACGTCAGCTGTATTAGTCCAGGTTCTTGCACGTGAGAGAACATCCTTCACAGAGCCATGCTGCGGTCCCTCAGGGCTTCAGGAGGTTTCAGAACCCGTCTGCTGGACAGTAAGCCGATGAGACGATCAGCTCCACACACCACACTACATCCTTATGAACAACCACTTCCCTCAGCGTCCTTTTGAGGACCACTTATGAAGACAAGAGCAGCACAAACAACCTGCGACAACAGTCCCTGCTTCCACAGCCGCTGTCATGGTAACACACAGAGGAGCACTGTTACAACAAAACCAATAAACCTTTCCTAGTTTTCAGTTTCAAATGGATGAAAACTAACCTTTAGGAGCTCATAAATCCAGACCGGCTGAGAACTGAAGCTTAGGAGAAAATATAGGAACCCTCTATATGAACTCTGAGTATGCAGTCTTAGTACAAGATCATGTTTGTCTCAGTTTTTATAGATAAACTGACAAAAAAAAAAAGGTGCTGCAGTTTTGTCAAGATGTCAAACTCACAGATCAAGATCGCACAAGACAATATGTCCTTCAGCAGAGCTCGTATGCTGTTTTTCTCAGCCGTCTGCCGGGGGAGATAAGTTCAAATTACACTCTGAATCACAGCTCACTGGGACAAAGGTCCCCACAGAATCTGCAAGCCAGAGCAGGAGCAAATTTACCGGAGCGGGACACAACAGGAGCAGCTCCTTCAGTCCCCCCCAGCACAGAGTGGCTCAGCTCTGATGATTCAGACATCATGAATTAAACATCAAGAAGCCACCGAGTCAGCTGGGCGTTAGAGAAACACTGTACCTGAGAAAAGTAAAGCCTTCACAGAGAGAGTGTGTTCCTGGAGGGTCGCTGTGGTCAGTGTGTCAGCTTGAGCTGAGGTGAACCGCTGAAAGGTGGCTCCTTGTAATCATTAAGATCAGGCTTTAAATTCAATGAGAGCAGCTTCAGATGTTCTGCATGGATCTTTCAACATGGATTACAGAACAACCAATCCTTTAATTTAATTATTTAATGAATGAATTAATAATGGCTATATTTTTGATGAGGAATGACAAGAGTTGACGTCATTTTGGTCAAACCTTAAGGATTATATTACCGGGACACGTAATGTCACACTCAGAGCAGTGTTTCCTCTACCTTTATCCAAGCAGGGCGGCCCACCCTCCCTCAAAGTTCATGGCAGGTAATACATTAAAATACATCTGTATGTGTCTGCACGAGAACAATTCACTGCCGCCAGGGGGGACGCCAAAGCTGATACACCACCCACCTCCTCCTCATGAGCCGTGCCAACCTTCCCCAGGAGTTTTGTTACTAAACTTTAACTCCTATTAAATACTAATGCGTACAGAGCGTCATCGTTAACATACCGACGTGTCCAACTTAGGTGCATGACCAAACTCCTGCTAACAGAGGGAGCATCTGCTGCAGGAGCGCACAGAGCCTGTTTGGGTGCTCTCGCTGTGCGACTCGCTCTTTCTGCTGCTTTACGGTTTGGAATTAAACAATATTAACACCACAAGGTTTTTATTTGTTTGCTCAAATTATAGCAAAGGTCCGTTTAACTTTTAATTCCCCCCCAAAGTGCACGACGTTCTCTCTGTGAGAGTCAATTTTAAGTGTTTGTAGTTTATCATAAATATGTGCAAATTTCAATTTTGAACCAGATCATAACAATATAAACAAAGTTTTGATTATTTGGATGTGCTAGGCTTGCTCAGATCTGGATCTATGCTGTGACGGTAACTGTTTGAGTTGAAAAGTAAAAACATCCTTTCAGTGTCGAGCTTTAGGAGTGTTAACAATGTTAATTACATTTAGACTTGTGAACGTTCACATTATGATGGTTATACAGATATTCTTGATTGTCATTATGTTAGACTGATTGGTAATTCTAAATTGACCCTAGATGTGAGTGAGAGAGTGAATTGTTGTTTGTCTCGTTTGTCTCTATGTGTCCCGGTGATGGACTGGAGACCTGTCCAGGGTGTACCCCGTCCCTCACACAGTGACTGCTGGACATGGGCACTGGCGACCCACGTGACCCAAAAAGGAAGAAAAGGATAAAGATAATGGATGGATGGATGTTAGAAAACTCCAATTAATGGTCCTTTTTGTTGCTGAAACTCCTTGAACAATAAAAACAGTGTGAATGATGATAAAACATGTAAACTAGACTAAATTAATGTAATGGATGTAAAAAAAATCCACGATGTATTATTGGATCATTCATTGAATTACATTCAGTCAAATACGAGGATTAAGGCCACTGTGAATTAGAGTTGCACTCGGATCCAAAAAAAAATCCGACCCGGCCCCAGCCCGTAGCCATCATTACCGAACCCCATCCGATCTGACAAATTAACAGTAATTATAGGTCCGTACCTGAAAAAAAAAAACACACAAAAAACCTAACATGCTTATTAACGGTTGGCGGACACGTGCGGCTGACGGGCGGAAGATCAGAGCTGAGGATCCATCAAAGCGCATTAAATGTTTCCCCTGCTTCTGCCTGCGTCCTGCTCTGACATGTCGGATATTTTGTGATTTCACCTGTTTGAGTCGTTGGCCACGCAAGTCCGCTGAGTGCAGCAGCTGAATGAATGTCCATTTGGGCGATGGATCGTTGGCAGTAGTCCATCTGAAGCTCAACTCAACTTTTACCTCTTTCAAGGCTGGTCAGTGTGGTCAAATGGCTGCGTGCAGTAAGTGACTGTATGGCAAGCTATGTTGCCATATAATTGGATCGTCAGCCGCGCACATTCGCTGACACAATCAAAAGCCCGACACCGACCCGGCCTACACATTAAGCACATTATTATGGACTGGCCCGGTCCGAATCAGGGTCGGGCGGGGCCGGGCTCTGGGTTGGGGTTAGAAATGACCGCTCTAATCACCGCCCCTCCACACCTACAGAATTTTGATTTTTTTCTCTCTCTCGGAATTTGGAAAAACAAAAGTAAAATATCAAAACCAACAACAGGAACTTTGCATCAACCCACCTAAACACATAATAAATAAATCAAGTGAGAGCAGAGCTTCTAAAAACATACCCATACGAACTAAAAAGTAAAACCTAATATTGAATCAGTCTAAAATACAGCAGCTGACACTTGGGGGGGTGTTAATGAAATATTTACACTGACTGAGTCTCTTAAAAAGCTAAAGCATTAAACTCCTGTAGAGGTCACTCCACTAAAAAATCCACTATGAAAATATCAAAGTGTGCCAGAGGAATAAATGCTCTCCTCCTCATATGGCAGCAAACGGAGAGCAAACACACACACACACACACACCTGAACCACTGTTTTCCAGCTTTGCCCTATAAGGACACGTGTCTCTACGCATTTGTGGGGGTTTGAAGAAAAACGTGTGAATCTGTAGGAAGCAGAGAAGAAGAAGCTTCCCTCCTCTCCAAGCTGAGCCTCCTAACTAACCACATGAAAGCAGCAGCAGAAGAGCTGGTGGCAGAATAATAACACATTCACTGCTGTGGGATAATACCACAGAAGGAGACCATCTTACTCACAGGAACACTAACTACCACATCACGCAGCCCAATTATCATTAATGTGTATACCTGACACTTGTAACAGCAGTAATACTCTCCTGACAGACGGAGGACACGAATGCATATTGTGAAAACATAAAATGGGAAATTAGATATCATTAATTCTACTTTCTGTGCTGCAAACCCTCCAGCAAAGAGTTTGAACCATTTATTTAGCAGCTGAATGGAACACAAGTAAAATAATACACATATGATAAAATCAATAAAAGAAAAAAACATTTGAATCAAGTTCATAAAATATAGAAACCTCGTTTCTGACGTGTCCACACCGCTGCTTCATATCAACGGTTTGTAAATATGATGTGTTGCTCTGTGTCTCAAAGGCTTAAATTAAAAATGGCTGAAGGTACTAAGCCTAAACATCTCAAAAGAAACCACTTCTACAAAATAAAATGATCACATTTCTTAACTTAACTGGGGGAAAGAAACAAAAAAAAAACCCATTAAATTTGCCAACACCCACTTCTCATGAGCGTGAGGTTCAGGGAACGTCACCGTGACAACGGGATGTGGGCAGAGGGACCCTTGATGACTGTGTGGGCAGGAGGAGGGATGAGAGGAAGGAGGGAGACACCGATACAGAATGAGGCAGAGCAACTAATGATTCGACTGGGAAGAGAAATATAAAAAATAAACGTAACGACTGCTGCTCAAGCAAAACCCTGTAAATCTACTGCAATAAACAAATATTTACGGTGCTCAGATACATCCTTCTGTCACTTTACCCAAAACACAAACTGTATGCAGAAGAAAAACACCAAGAAGAGCTGAAAACAGTGTCTACTGAGAAGAGCAATAGTTATACTGTAGATGTTTGTGTGTGTGTGTGTGTGTGTGTGTATAAGAGACAGGAGAGACATGGGAGCAATAAAGAGGGGAATGAAAAGATGCTTATTTGAAGGCTCTACCTGTCTTTGTGCTGAGGTTGCCAACTGGATCTGGCAGAACTTCACTGCTTGGTCCAAAGCTACGTCTTCATCAACCTGAGAGAGCGAGAGAGAAAAGGCAAAACACATTAAGTCAGAACATTTTGTTCTAAAATATTCCACCCTGATAAACAAGTTGATCCAGTTCTGTCTCAGAAGAAGTGGTAACATGTCTCCGGAGCCTCTGACGTGTGTTGAGTAAGGGCCTGCGCTGAGGCCCACCTCAGCTGCTGTTTGTGTGGGAGTGGGTGAGCCGTGCTGCTGCACAGCACTGCAGCCCAGAGTGCTGTGTGCGTAAGATTAATGCCACGCTCCCTGCAGCAGTCCAGCAGGTCAGAAACCCTCAAACAGAGAGATTTCATGTTTTACTTTTCAAATTATTCTGGTATACAAGCCGAGTCAAACCAGCGCATTGCAGTGCTACGCTTTCATGTCTACCTTCCTGCACTACTTCCTTGTCAAACACACAGACACACACTACAAAATACTTCACAGGTTTCTATAGGACTGACCCCACTTTAACATTGTTTGATGCTATTCAAATATCTTATCTCACTCAACAGGTTTTAGAGGATTTAGACTCGTATCAAAATGCTCGGCTGTAAAATGATCAGACAGGAACACTCAGCTTGTTGGCACTCGTTTCCTGATCACGATCATCTTGTTTCAGACAGCAGGATTCCCTGTTAGTCAGCAAATGTTCATGACGTCTTGGTTAAAGCAGCACAACATTCCTTTCCCTGAAGGGATAGTTCAGATATTTTGAAGTGGGAAAGCTTATGGACAATTATTATATTACCTGTTGAACATAACTCTTTGAACGTTTTGGTTTTAAGTGGTCAATTTTAAGCAAAGCGATGAGCTAAAAGCTAGTCTAAGTCTGGCTATGACTAACAAACAACTTGTTTCTAGAATACTTTATAGAGGTTTGTGTAAATGTTATTTTGTGAACATATATATTGCGCAGTTAGCCATATAAAAACATTTAAAGTACTCCTGTCAGAAGTGCTTCAGTCTGCCTTGAAATACCTACAGCTGCTAATAATTACAATAGAAAAAACCCCGAATTACACAGATTTGTAAATAATTGTAAAGCACAAATTGACACTCATGTAATCACTCATTAAATAGTGTTTACATAAATTGCTATTACCGTAAATATTGAAATTGACGTTTTTAAACAGCAGCCATCTTTGGGCTTGAACTCTTCTTAGATTAGCGGTTAGCTCATTGGTCTGCACAGTTAAATTCAGTTTCTGTACTTGGAGGTGGTTCAAAGTGTTATAGCAAACGAAGCACCTTCAGACATGCAGCCAGCAGAGAACATACGTGACAAACACATTTGGTGAGTCAGTTTAAAGGAGTCCAGAGAACCACTGTGGTTTCTCAAAGATCGAAGAACTACGCTGCCGTTCTTAGGAGACGTTTGATTACATCCGAGAGCTCCAGTTCAAACACTTTGAGCCAAAGCTCTGCTCTGAGAACTGTAAAGAGCTGTTTGCATGGCGCTCTACATTTGAACCTCTTTATTAGTAAAACTGAGCGACGCTTCTCCTAAAGCAGTAGATCTGAAATTGTTTGGAGCGAACAATTGTCTTTTTCCATTCTACCACCTTAAGAGTTAAGCCAAATGGAGTTAAAAAAAAAAAAACAGTTAATAAACAATATGTAATGTAGTGTGTAATATAATACAGTAGTCCCTCGCTATATCGTGGTTTTTCAAAATAAGATTTGACATGACACACAATTGGCTGATTGATGGATGAGCCGCACGATAGGCATGGAGTTTTTATTTAAAATAAATTATTTAAAATTATTTAGCACCTGTGTGCAGCCCACAGCTGTGGGAGAAGCTTCCTCCTGCAGCTGATCAGCTGATCTCTGCTCTGCATTGTGCAGAGCGGAGAAGTAGGCGTGGCCGAGAGAGCAGCTCGAAGACTGAGAGCTGAAATCATGACATGCTGTGCTCTTTTAGAGCGTTTAGAAACATTGT